TATTGGTCTGAATGAATAAAAAGTAATTTCTGACTCTCCTACATCCTGTGAAAATAAGACATAACTTACATTTTCTCTTAAGATTTATATCACCTTGTGTCAAGCATAAACCTTGCCTTTTTATATTTTAATTTTGCTATATTCTGCCATTTAAACTTTGAGAGATTTTTTAAAAGAATAATGGTAGTATATTTTTAGCTAGCTATATTTCTTCACTAGCTATATACATTCAAGTGATCCCTAAAAGTACAAAAAAGAAAACAAACAAAAATCTCCTCCAAATCCAACTCCTCCCTATAAATCATCATTCCTGTTGGGGAACTATCACTGCAGACATTGCTCTTTGCATTTATACAGCAACTGGGACTATATTTCTCATGTTATTTAAATAAAAGATGTTTAATTTAAATTAACTGTATTTAACAGAAGAATTGCCAAGAAACTGAAGAAACTGCTAAACTTCAGACAAATGTTTCTTCGCCACAGAGATATTCATTACTAAAAGTTCTGTCAAAACCAGGAAAACTTTAATTAAAAAAGAAAGGGGTCAAAGTCATATTTTTTAGTTTTATATTTGAATTTTGGACAAATGCTGGAATTCATTCATTCATTCACTATGTACCACACGCATATCTCTGCAAAGGCACTGGCAATTTAATAGTGCAATCAATAAACATGAAATTTTCAGATAGGGATGTGTGCTAGGAAGAGAAATAACGCAGAGTAAAGTGTTAGAAGGGCCAATTAAGATCAGGCAGGCATAGAGAGCTTCTCTGGGGATAAGAGAAGCAGCTTGAATGAGATGGGGAACTGAGGCATGAATACACGCGGGGAGGCATTCTAGACAGAGAGAATTGCACACGCAGATGCCCTAAGACTGGTGTCACAGTCCATTTGTGTATTGTTATAAAGGAGTACTTGAGGCAGTGTTATTTACAAAGAAAAGAGGTTTATTCAGCTCAGGGTTCTATAACCTGTACAAGAAGTACGATGCCAGCATCTGCTTCTGGCGAGGGCCTCAGGAAGTTTCCACTCATGGCAGAAGGCGAAGGGGAACTGGTGTGTGCAGATCACATGATAAGAGTGGAAGCAAGAGAGGAGGAGGAGGTGCCAGGCTCTTTTCAATGATCAGTTCTGGAGGAACCAACAGAGTGAGAACTCGCTTATTAACGTAGGGACTGCAACAAGCCATTCATAAGAGATCCGCCCCCACGACCCAAACACCTCCCACCAGCCCCCACCTCCAAGATTGAGGATCAGATTTCAACATGAGATTTTGGGAAGACAAATATCTAAACCGTATCAGCCGGCCCAGCTCAGAATGTCACAGCAACAGCAAGAAGGTCAATGTAGTGAGACCTTAGTGAGCAGCAGGTAAAAGGATAGCAGATGACGGGAGGCTGGAGGCCATATTACGCAGGGCCCGATAAGCCTACGTGAGACATTTAAGGTTTATTCTGTTTGTAATGAGAAGCCACTGGAAGGTCTTGAGCAAGGAAATGGCATGACCTGGTTTACATTTTGAAACGATCGCTTGAACTGAGCGATCGAAAATAGCTCTGGTGGGCGTGGGCAAGAGTAGAAGCAGGGAGACAAATTGACAGGGTATGGCTGTCTTTCCAAAGGCAGAGCCAAGAAGGCCTGCTAGGGGGTAGAATATGGGGCACACGTTGGCTTCCTAGGGCTGCTGTATCCAAGTAAAGAAGCTGAGTGGCTTAAAACAATGGAAATGTATTGTCTCACAGTTCTGGAGGCGAGACGTCTGAAATCGAGGCATCGGCAGGATCTTGCCTCCTCCAAAGCCTACTGGGGAATTGTCCCTTGCCTCTTCCTAGCTTCTGGTGGTTTGCTGTCAGTCTTTGTCACTCCTTAGTGTGCAGCTGCTGTAAATTCAGTCTTTGCCTTCGTTGTCACACAGGGCATTTCCAGTACGTCTGTCTTCACATGGCCATCTTCTTACAAGGACACCCATCATGCTGGGCTAGGGGCCCATGCTATTCCAGTATGGCCTCATCTTGACTAATTACCCCATTTCCAAAAAAGGTCACATTGTGAGGTACTGGTTGCCAGGACTTCAATACATACTGTTTTGTTTGTTGGTGTTTGTTGTGGGGGATTGGGGGGTGTAAAATTCAATCCATAACAGAGTGTGAAAGAAAGAGAAAAGGTGAGAAGGATGTCTTCGCTTTCAGTCTAAGCAATGGAGTGAATGGTAGTGCCCTATACGGGAATGGGGGAGAATGAATGGGAGAGGTGTGACCAGATTTGTGGGAAGAAGTAAAGAATTGCTTTAAAAATGCTGTTTGAGATATCTATGAGACAATTGTATAGAGAATAGAGAAGCCAGTTATATTTCCAAATTTGGAGGTCAGAAGAGGGAAATGGTCTGGGTACATTTGGAAATAATTAGTGCATTAGGGCTTCTGATGCCATGAAGCTGGATGAGATTGCCTAGGAAGCAAATGCAGGCAGAAAAAAATGATTTAAGTGTTGCACCTTGGGATATCCAACATTTAGAGACGTGAATAAAGGAAGAATTGAACTAAGAATAAGAAGACTGTGACAAAGCTGGCAGTGAGGCAGGAGGAAAGCCAGAAGAGTAGAGAGTCTCAGAAACGAAATAAAAGTGTGTAAAGAAAGAGGGAGTAACCTAACGCATTAAATGAGCTGAGGGATCTACCAAGGTGAACATTTGGAATTGACCACCAGACTTAACATGGAAGGCATTGGTAGCTTTGACAAAAGTTTCAGTTGAGTGGTGGTGATTAGATCTGTTTCAAGAACATGGGATGTGAAGGAGGTAAGTGCAGAAAACACTTTAAAGATGGTTTTGCCTTTAGGGGAGGAAATAAATAAGGCTATAACTGGAGGGGCATGTGGATTCCAGGGATAGTAATTTTTTATATGGGAGATATTGGGGTATGTTTCATTGGTGATGGGAATGATTCGGTTGAAGGGAAAATTGTTCTTAAAGGAGAGAAATCATCATTAATGAAGCAAAGTATGAGAAGGGCAGAGGAACTGGAATCCAGGACACAAGAATGAAACTTGGCCTTAGGCAGAAGCAGGAACATGTGTCCTTTATACGAGAAGGGAAGAAAAAGGATGGAAGTACTGCAGATATTGGTAGGTATGCAGGCCTAGTTACGGAGAATGAAGAGGTTATATTCTGATTACCTGTTTTCTTATTTTAAAAAAAAGTTAGGTCATTAGCTTAGGCTTAAAAGGGTTGAGGGTGAGGTGGGAGGTTGGGAAGAAGGCTGAAGTGGTTATTCAGGATAATGGACAAAGGAACTGACTAGAAAAATGGATAAGGCTTGCTGAGCTGGATGGTCTTAAATTTACAGCAAGACCATAGGGTGATGGTTTTTTCTAGTCACATTTAACTGCGTAGTTACAGGTGAAAAGTAAGCAGAGTACTGCCTTTAGCCAGATTAGGTGAGTATAAAAGAGGGAGACGGGGGAGAGAGTTGAGTGGTTATGAGCGGTTATAATGATAAACCATGGAATTCATGATAGATGAAAATGAAAGTAAAGAAATGCAGTAGACTTGATTAATGACTGGAGGTCCTTATAGGGTCAAATAATTGGCAGAATTTAAACTAGAACTCAAGTGTGGCAGAAAGACGAGAGGTCATAGAATGGAAAACTTGAGTCGAGATTTGGAGGTGGTGCCATTACTGATAACTGGTGGCTGAACCGTGACAGAGGAAAAGACAGAGAAAAGGGAATCAAGAAACTGAGAGGTCAGGCTTTTGGATGAGCAGTCTACATGGATGTTGAATTCACCAAGCATGATGATTATAGAAGCAGACCGTAAACTAGTTGTTAGCATTTGATGAATACATGATCAGGAGAGAACGCCATGAAGATTGGGCATAAGTGCCACAAAAAGGGCAAACAGGTAGTGTAACTGATGATATTTGCTAAGGGAGCTGGAAGGTTTTAGGGAAAAGGAAGAAGTGACGGTCAGGTAGCCCCAATGAAAAATCAAGGATACCTACCCCTTTGCTAGTTCCTATAACATTGGGGTGTCAGGTTAATAGGGGATTTTTTCTTCTCTTCTACCGTTCTCCCCTGCTCACTCATCTTCCCAGATGACCTGTTCATAGCTGAGCATAGGAGGAAAAGGAATTTAGGGGAAGACCTTACTTTGCAGGTACTTTGTGACATCTGTAGACTCTTTTAGGGCTTTCTTGCAGTTTGGGAAACTGGGAAACTCCAGTGGAAATTTCTGTGATGTAAGTAATGCCTTTCCCCTGGCCTGGCCATATATGACTCCAACTCCTGAAACCTGGCATCCAGACACAGGCCTTGTATTCACTCCTGTTAGAACCCCACTGCCTTCCCAGTGGCCCTCTTGGACAAAGTCCCTTAGGCAAAGTCTACATTCTATGCTGGTTTTCCCAATGCCCACATCTGCTATATCGGAAACATTCCTGAGAGCTCGCCCCTGCCTGTGGTGGAAGTAGCAACTACTCCCAAAGCAATCATCTTCCTCTTTGTTCTGCTTCCTGGGATCAAAAGCCTGCTGCGAACTCCTGCCTTTAGATTTCATAGTCCTGAGTCCACTGCCAGTCCACTGCCAGTCCACTGCGTCCCTTCAACCCTCAGAACACACATCAAGTTCTAAAAGTGAAGACCTTCACACCAAGCCTCAAGTGATCTCAAAGCTTCATCCCTCTCAGCAACTCTCCACAGCCCAGGGGAGGGAAAACCGCCACAGCACTGCAGCCTCTTTCTCCAGAGATACTTTTCTCTTTCTCCTTCAGTGTTCACTCACAGTCTCCAGAAGAGTGACGGGCTAAGGGATCAAAATATAATCCCCCTTTGGAGGCCAAGGCGGGCGGATCACCTGAGGTCGGGAGTTCAAGACCAGCCTGACCAACATGGTGAAACCCCGTCTTAAAAAATAATAATAAATATATATATATATATATATATATATATATATATAAAATCCCTTAATATTCTTATACTTTTTTTTTCTTTTTTTTTCCAGAGACAAGTGAACATTTATTTTGAGGCCTTTCTTCCTATGTGTATTTCAAGTCTTTTTCAAAACAAGGCCCCAGAAATCTCCAGATTCAATTATGTCCCTGGGCTTGGCCGATCACTGCAGGAGTCTTAGGGAGCCTTGTACAAATGCTAGAGTTACTCATTTGCCAACATTAAACCTCAGGATAGAAGATGCAACTCAGCACAACTCTCTCCTCCATGGAATATGCTGATTTCAGACGAGGCGGCAGCCAATGTAGAAAACGCTGGACTGTGATGAGAGGTCCTTGCCATGAACATAAGCTACTATCTTTTCTTTGATCCTTCCTTTCCAGTTTTTGAAGATAAAGCAGGAAATAATCTTCTCTGAAGATACTTGATAAAAATTCCCCCCAAAAACAAAAACACATCCTTCCACTTCATTGATAAAAATCTGCTGCACTTTGGCACCTGGGTCTACTTCAGCTGGAAGATGAGCTGATTGATGCGTTCGCCCAGACAGCGAGGTGTGCCCATCTTCTAGAGGAAGCCCGCTCTATTTTTGGTAGCATGATGGGCCACTGAGAGGTAGAAAAGGCACAACCACCACGAGATCTCCTGGAAACGCTTCCCTGGGAAGGCAATTCCATGAATGAGGTCTTCCAAGCAAATGACACCAAACTTCCCCAGGTGCTCCTTGATCACCCTGCTGTCTGTCAGAAAAATGGTCTCATTCTGGACGTTGGCTTGTCCATGTTTCAGAATGAGCTCCCAGACAGATTTCAGACTTGGAAACCCCCAGGTCACGTAAGGTTCCACTATACACAGCATTTTTAGGTTCTGTGGATGACTTTTCCAAAGACACCACTGAAAGTTTTCTTCCAGTGGAGTCTTGCAATGATTCTCTGCATCAGTAAACCCACGCCATCAATCCTTTTGATGCACACAACAAAGGCCAAGGAATGTTTATCTGGCAATTCCAAGGCATGAGGTTTCACTTCTAGTCATCTGAGACGTACCTTGTCACGTTTCTGCCACCAGGAATCAAGCAGAAATGATTCCAGTCACTCAAACCTCAGCCCTTTTCCTTTTCTCTGCTTCTTCTTTGCCAAAAATGCCTGCTTTGCCAGGGCAGCTTTGAGGGCTTGATAAGACTTCCTATTTTTCAGGAGATTTTCTGGAACCAAAGGGATTTTTCTTTGCTCTTGCTCCACCATCTTTCTAGTGTTGCAGCTACTGCTCTTTTTTTCTTTTTCTTTTTTTTTTTTTTTTTTTTGAGACAGAGTCTCACTCTGTCATCACCCAGGCTGTAGTGCAGTGGCACAATCTCAGCTCACTGCAACCTCTGCCTCCCGGGTTCAAGCCATTCTCCTGTCTCAGCCTGCAGAGTAGCTCGGACTACAGGCATGCACCACCAAGCCCAGCTAATCTTTGTATTTTTCGTAGAGATGGGGTTTCACCATATTGGTCAGGCTGGTCTTGAACTCCTGACCTCAGGTGTTCCACTTGCCTTAGCCTCCCAAAGTGCGGGGATTACAGGCCTAAGCCACCGCACCCAGCCTTTTATATTCTTAATGTAAGAATGTTTTTGGCCATTCCTTCCAAAAAGTTTTGCAAATCGAGTCCAGCACCAAACTTTGAAACATGGGGAAAGGTGGCACCTAGTGTTTTATCCTTAGCCTTAGAAACCTCTCCAGACACCCAGACAGGAAGAGTCCCGTATTAACACGCTGCTACGTAAGTAATTAATATTCTCATCCTTCTTCACTCCTAACAAAATTTAGCTTTTGTTAAACAATTTCTACTTCCCAAGGTTTATAAATCTTGTATTTGGTTCTATACGTATAGCTCCCACAATAAAAGAACTACCAGGGTTGGCAATTTTTAAAAAAACTTTTTAATTCCTTGGGAAAGAAGGGTATTTAATTTCTTGGTTAGTTGGATTTCATTGTCAGGTTGTTTTGCTCACATATGCTTTACTCACATATGTCTGAGAAAGACCTGTGCTCAGATACTCAAAAGACATCTTCACTGCATATACTAGCCACATGTCACATTTTCTTCTGCTCAACATCTTATAGATACTGCTCCATTGGCTTCCAACGCTAAATGATCCTCTAGTCCTTGTACAGTGGACTGTCCTTTTGTGAACTGGATAATCAATGACCGCCTTGATTTCACATCTGAGCAGTGGGTATTCATATTCTTGCTTTCTCCCAAGTAAAGCTCATGTGTGCTATAATTCTTATTGGAGTATTTCCCACGTATGGTCTTCATATGTGAGAGATGATTAAATTGGTAGAAAATTATCGGGTCAAACCCTCTTTACCCTTGACCTTTAGACATTGTTCCATTGTGTTCTGGCATTGAATGTTGCTAGGGAAAAGCACTAGGTCAGCAAGATTTTGTTCAATTGTAGGTATATTGTCTTGATTTTTCTGCCTAGGTACTGGAAGAGATATTTCTTCTTTTTGAAAAAGTTTATAAGACATACATGCCACCAAAAATCACATGAAAAAAAAGTTCAACATCACTGATCATTAAAGAAATGCAAATCAAAACCACAATGAGATTCCACCTTACACCAGTCAGAATGGCTATTATTAAAAAGTCAAAAAATAACAGACACTGGTGAGGTTAGGGAGAAAAAGGAAGCTCACACACTGTTGGTGGGATTGTAAGTTAGTTCAACCATTGTGAAGGACAGTGTAGTGATTCCTCAAAGACCTAAAGACAGCAATACCATTATACCCAGCAATCCCATTGCTGAGCATATACCTAAAGGAATATAAACTGTTCTATTATAGCGACACATGGACGCAAATGTTCACTGCAACACTATTCACAATAGCAAAGACATAGAATCAATCTAAATGTCCATGAATGATAAGCTAGATAAAGAAAATGTGGTGCATATACTTCAGGGAATACTATGCAGCCATTAAAAAAGATGAGATCATGCCTTTTGCCAAGACATGAATGGAGCTGGAGGCCATTATCCTCATCAAACTAACACAGAACAGAAAACCAAATGCTGAATATTTTCACTTATAAGTGGGAGCTAAATTATGAGAACACATGGACACATACAGGGGAACAACACACACTGGGGCCTATTAGAGGGTGGAGGGTGGGAGGAGGAAGAGGATCAGAAAAAGTAACTAATGGGTACTAGGCTTAATACCTGGATGGTGAAATAATCTGTACAACAAGCCCCCATGACACAAGTTTACCTCAGTAACAAACTGCACATGTACCTCAAACTTAAAATCAAAATTGAAAATTAAATATTTAACAACCTGTGTTCAGTAAATTCTAATGTTCTGTGTCAGCATTCCATATCATTTTGTTCACCTTTCCTGAAACATGGTGGGTTCTGTCAATATACATATTAGATTCTTGCTTATTTCAAGGAAAATTTTCTTCTATCACAACTTTGGCTATACTTTTTGGTGTCACTTGTTTCTGTGTCATTTATTCTATAGTTTCTTGCACATAATTTATTTTGCTGATGTTGGATCCTCTTTATTAATCATTTATATCTATTAGTCCTTCCTGAACTGCTTTTGTCTCTTGATTATTTTCTGCATCCAATCGCGCCTTTCTTCTATGTTAGCAATTCAATTTTCAGCTATAGCCATTCTAATCCTTGAAAATTCTAATTTAGTTATAAATTATGTAATACAGTTGGTTTTTTGTTTCTCTGCATTCCTGTTTTACATCTTATTCTGTTTTTCTTTTTAAATCTGTTGTCCAATACTTATTTGATAAAACTCACAGCTTTATTAAGCTCTTTAGAGTAAAATACTCTCAGGTAATCTTTCCCATAGCTGGTCCTCTTTTACAGACTGTTTCTTCATCAGTCTTTAGTGTGCTAGATTGATCTTACCTTTCCCTGTACCATTTTAATAAAACCATTATTTTTATCATTAACAGTTACTGAATGGTTCTCTGTGTGCCAGATTCTGTTCTCTGCAATTTCCGTATATTAATCCTCTATTTCTTATAACACAACCCTATTAGGAAGATGCAATTATTTGCTCCATTTTAAATATGATAAAACTGTACATTTGAATAATTACTGTGATGTTTCTTTGCATTTTGCTCAGGCTTACGTGGGCATTTTCATCCACACCTTTTCCTTGCTGTCGTTTGGTACAGATGAGTTCTCTCTGGCACCATGTTCACCTTAATATTACACCTGTTTATCTTCCCTTTCCCGCTACAGTTTGAGGACTCAGAGTAACGTGTCCTATTATTTCTATAACCACAGAATTTGAAAAGAGAGGGAGAAAGACAGAGCTCCTCCTTCGAAGAATATATAAAATGTCCTGGGTTTGTTACCCTTAATTTAGAATGCTCTATTAGATCCCCAAGCTCAGCAAAGACACCTGAAAAAATGAATATTCCTATTTTTTTCTATGCATTAGATGCCATCCTAGGATGCTGCAATGACTGAAACTGATGCTTTTTCTCTTGAAGATTTTCCTTTATGTTTCCTCCAAGCAGCTCACTCACCTCCTCAGTGTATTTCTTCTGAAATTTGGGATCTAATGGGAAATTCTCAAGGTGGGTTAGCAAGTCCGTCTTCTTTCCCCAGTAAAGCTTTGAGGTGGGGTAGAGGCTATGTCAAGTCCCACATGGAATCTTTCCAGTAAGGTTGATTTCCTTCTTAGGATCCCATTTTTAAAGGTAGGACATGAAATGGTATACCCTTCCTGCTTTCCTTTTTTGTTATTTTACTGTTTTTTATTTATGTGATTAGGTATGAGGAAATTTCTATGACCTGGATTCATCCTGCTATCTTTACCAAAAGCTTGACTAGTACTTTATGATCTTAAATAAATATATCTTGTAACCAATGTTTGCTTTTCCCCCAGAAGAGAATATTTTCATTTCATCATAATAGCGTTGCACATGTATGGTATCAAACTACTGAGATTCAACTATAAGACAAATCTTACGGTTTCATTTTTTATATGTCTATTCTAGGGACTAAGTATCACCTGAAAAAAACAGTGTTCAGAAGCTGTTAGCAGTTTCAGACTAGGGGACTTCTAGAATTTTCCTTTTTGTATGGTTACATTGGTAAAGATACTTTAGTCAGAAAATAGTTTCTGGACGTAGTCTCACTACAATCTAAGAATAGAAGTTGATCCTTTAAAATCAGACTTATAAAGAGAAATAAAATTTTTGTCACATACAGGAACTTTAACTTTTACATTTTTGTGTAGAATGAATACACAAAAAAATCTCAAAAAAAATGTTCCCACTACATGTTTTAAGTGAGTTTCTCCCCTTGGAAGTCACCTCTGAGGAGATACTTTTTTAAATATTTTAAAACATAGTTTCTACAGTGTTCTTCCCAATTGCTAAGTTGAGACCTGATTCATGCTTCTGATTTTTCCTCTTTGGGACGGGAGAAGGGAGAGTAGAAATGATGAGTAATTGCAAAAGAACTACTTCCGCGAAGCCACAGCAGGGGGAAGGAAAAAGCAGATGCCTTCTGATTCACTTTGAGGAGGAGATTTGCTCATCTTCCTTCTTTGGCTTCTGTTTTTGCCTTGTGTCTGTCATTTGGCCCCCAACCCAGATATGTTTTTACATTCATTTTATGTTTAGAAAAGATATATCCAACCAAAAGGTTTAAGCTGCTCTTGACATTAGTAAAGCTGATGAAGATAAAAAAGGAAAATCTAGTGTCTTAGTTTTGTGCTATAATAACAGCACAGGGCACACTGTATTACCAGGATCAGGGCTCAGCGTGTGATCAGGACTGGGGCTCAGTATGGACCGGGGTCAGGGCTCAGTGTGTGATCAGGATTGGAGCTCAGTATGGACCCAGGTCAGGGCTCAGCGTGTGACCAGGACTGGGGCTCAGTATGGACCCGGGTCAGGGCTCAGTGTGTGATCAGGACTGGGGCTCAGTATGAACCAGGATCAAGGCTCAGCGTGTGATCAGGACTGGGGCTCAGTATGGACCAGGGTCAGGGCTCAGTGTGTGACCAGGATTGGGGCTCAGTATGGACCAGGGTCAGGGCTCAGCATGTGACCAGGACTGGGGCCCAGTATGGGCCAGGATCATGGCTCAGCATGTGATCAGGACTGGGGCTCAATATGGACCAGGGTCAGGGCTCAGTGTGTGATCAGGACTAGGGCTCAGTATGGACCAGGATCAGAGCTCAGTGTATGATCAGGACTGGGGCTCAGTATGGACCAAGGTCAGGGCACA